TATATTTTATTTAGAAAGTATATTGCTAAAATTAATATTTAAAATTTTATTAAAAAATTAGAGTTTAAAAAAATAAATACAGGCAAATTTGACTATGTTACAATTTAAGGAATATGCACCATCCTGTAATATATTTCATATAAATTTTAGTAAACAAGATTTAATAAATTGAGACTAGAAAAATGAAAAAAGATCAATTGGTCTTTCCATTCTATTATTGAATATAACAACCCTCCATAAGTCTCTTGTTACTAAAATTCTATTTTGATAACAACTAACGTGTAATATTGCGAAAGTATTACTCATTTCAGAAACTACCTAGTAATGGTTCTTTTTGACCCAGCAGGTTTTAGAATAATTGATAAAATGTCATATTTATTATTTTTAACTCAAATTCTCTTATCATAACAATATATTTTAAGAGAATTACCTATTTTTGCAGATTTTGATAGGATGTAAATGCTTATTTTACAATGATAATAATGTTTAACTATATATATTCCAACATTTTCAGTCTCAGCAGATTTTTTGTAGTAGCAAAATGTCTTACATTTACTCTTCTCAATCCTGGTTCCTTTGTATAAAAATAACAAACTTATAATGTTCTACCAGTATAACTCATCTCTACAGATTTTAGATAGTTGTTGCTATGTCTATATTACTATTCTCTTGATTTTCTCATTCTAAAAAATGATTTAATATATCATGAGGATCATAATTCAAATCAGCAGAAGTAACAGCTTGAGCCGTTTCTACAGAAGATCTAGAATTTTTTTCAGATATTAAATCAACAATGTCTTCAATCATTAGGGTTGTAGAATGATCAAATGCTATATTAACCAATGAATTCATTTTATTAAATTTTATTTGGTCTTCCTTCTCACAATCTATTATATTACCAACTGATGCAATATTACATGCACCTCAAAGTTCTTTCTCTGTTAACTTTTTGCCAAAAAAACTTAGTTCACGTCGAATATTAGTCATATAATATGATCTAATTTTGGCTATTCCCTCTAGTTTATTTAGACCCAAGCCTATCCATCACTCTCCTAAAATCTATTTAATGTTAAGAAAGCTCTTTCGCATCCTGCTTGTATAGGATTAATTAAAAATATTCTTTGCACAAGTTCAGCTAAATGCTGAGGTTGATTCTGGAAAGATCCCTACCAAATTTTTGAAGTGTCCATACCAGTAATATAAAGAAGATCATATGGTAGCAATCATGCCTCAAAGTGTCGCAACTGTGCAACCAATTCTTCGCCTTTTGACCGAGTATAACCAAGATTTTGCCAAAGCTTGAGGGAAGTTAGTGTAGCTTTATGAAATCTATTATTTTTAAATTTTTTTCTAAAAATTAACAAGTTAAATAGTATATGTACTCAAATTAATCTATAGATTATTATGACAGTTTTTACCTCTATATTTTGGATATATATAATAGGCTAAAATATAAAGTAGATGCAAAAATTCCTTATAACGCCAATTGAAAATATAGGCTAGGTGCTGCAGAAAGAGAAATTGACAAATTTTTTAAAATTAATTTTTTTGTATAAATTAATTTAAAATAAAATTAGGATTATTTTTTACTTAAGATACAAAAGTAGTTATATTAATAAAATTTTGCAATATAGCTCTTCAAAATTTGCAATTTCTTATGATTTATTATCAAATTTATAACATAAAAATTGATTTTCCAAAAATCTTTTTTTTTGTTGATTTCCTTTTTTTTTTTGCAGCACTCAGCCTATATGAATAGCAAGAATTTTAAAGCTATTTATTTTGGATAAGTTATTAATTGCTACAGCTAATTTAATCAAATAAATGAAATAGTCAGCTAATGTTGCACTATTAGACTCTAACATATGAATAATTTCTTTGATAGGTTGCCATACTGAATATATAAAATGACAGGTGGTAAAAAAACTTTCACTGGACATCAAATCACTAACTTCTTCATTAGTAATTAATTCTCTATAGTCAGAAAGTATCTAATAATAAAAATTTATTTAGTAATAATAATTTATAATAATATTCTATTACAGTATTAACTTATTTACCTAGTCGAATACAGGACACGTACAAATCATTAAATCAGTAGTTAAGTATAAAGATCCCTATCAAGTCTTTACCCATGTTTTTAATTTACCACCTTTAATCTTCATATCCACAAGACCTTTTGTAAATAACGAATAGCTTGAATGTGAGTTTTTAAAAAAATGATTGATTTTTCCACAATCACTAATTAATTTTTTTATACTTTCTAATTCAACTAAATCAGCTGCAATAAGGTTAATGGCATGTGCAGTACACCTAACGTTCCAGATATGTAAATATATTTCTTGTATTTTTTGGTATACAATATTGCAGTTTGATGCTATATCTGTTACAACAGCTGCAAATTTATTTGAACCAAGCTTTTCAATAACTTTTGATATCTCACTTGCCAAAAATTCGCCAGTGTGTGACTGATTTGAATAATTTTTAATTTGACCAGATATTCTTTTCGAGTATCTGTTGTGACAATATAATTGTAAATCAATTCTGTCAATAGCAACGTCCAACTATCTAAGGCTTTATAATAAAGTTAATTAATAATTTTAGGGCTTAGTAATCGAAAATTGCTATAAGAGGGCACTTTGTACTAAAAGATCACATTTTTATATTTTTTAAAAAATATTTATTAAAATTTTTAATAATGAAATAAAACTTTAAATAAAAATATTATATATATGAATTATATGCATTGCTATTTGTGGATTATCTTTACTTGAAATAGTCATTTGTAAAGAATGCGAACTTTTAATATGAAGTATAAATAATATTTAATAATACTACCTAAAGTCAAAAGTTCTGTCTTACTTAGATCATCGTCAATTGCTTTATTTACTCGTGCTAATTCTTTATCAAACAATCGGTTTGATAAAGTTGTTCTCGAAGATGGGTTATAGGCAGGGTTAAGTTCTTTGAATATATCCCAAATAAATGGATTGTCAATTACATCAAAAGAGATTTCTGCTATTATCTATGTTTTGATTATTTTTTGATCAAGTCAGTTAGTTATAGTCTTTGACAGTAGATAGTCTGATGCATTATAGAAGATCATTGTTGTTTGTAGTATAGAGTTTGGTAGTATACAGTTTTTTTTCAGCCTTCAAGTATAATTTGGATTTCTTTCGGCAACTTTTTCTTTCCAATAACGAGATATATCATCCAGACAACTAACATAGTCATTTAATAAATATGCTTCTAGTTGTGCTAGTTTTCCTTGTGACCATTTTTTTCGCAATAACTACAAGTAGCCTCATAGTGGCTATTATTTTTTTCGGTTCCTTTGATAAAGTAATCCCATATCTCAGAAAATTGATGAGGCTTATTCTTATTTTGAGGTGCACTTGGTAAATATACAGCTATCAAGGTTTGTTCATTGGAGGTATTTGTTACCTCACTAATAGCTGTTGCTATTGTTTGAGTATCTTCGACTTCCAAACTAAATTCTTCTTCATTTTCTAAAAAGAACTTATATCTTTTTCTTGAACTTTCTTCATTCGTTTCGCTTGTTGCTATAATCTGAAATTTTGACAAAAAATTGTGAAAATAAAATAATATTTAATGATAATCTATATTACATATGAATATCACATGATCAGGATTTTTTTTACTAACCTTACATTTTTTCTTAAGTCTCAATTATATTTAACTTAAATGTTTGTATCTTTTAAGAGGTTCTAATGAATATGTGACTATATCCTCAAATGACCCAGAAGTTAGGTTTCTTTTCGTCTTTAATATCTGATTCAATATAAAATATTTATTTCTTGGTCTTATTTGTATATTGACATTGCAGTAATAATGTTCATTTGATTCTAAGATATAGCAAAATATTACAGAATTTTGTATTACAAAGTTTTTTTTTTTTTTTACTATCCTTACACCAATTAGCTACTTTAATCTTTCGTTATTTCAAGCTTGCTTTGCTTTAAGTCAACTCATATACAAGTAAGTCTGGTAAATTATTAAACCCACGATCTTTGACTTTTGTATATTTTATACACATATTATTTACAAGACAATAATATGTTAATTTGAACAGCAACTATATTCATACAATTGTAACCCTTTGATTTAGTATATACTATAGATTCCATTCTTTATACTTCAATTTAGTTAATATTTCTGCTTATTTGCCATTATCCTTATTTTTTTCACGTCAAAGTTGATATTACAAACAAAAACTGCCAGTAGACCACTTTAGTTCTGTAATTTTCAATGAAAAAAATCAGTTTTTCTTTCCACTTGCATAGTTTCTTTCTCATGATCATTCGCTAGTTTATTTGATCGGGCTTGCGTTAGTGTTGTATATTTTCAATGTCCATAGCTTTTTGTGTAAAACATTCTATTTTTTGTTCATACTTCTGTTCATAAACAATACTGCCTTGCATTTTCATATACTTTACATACTGACAGTATTAACACCAACTACAAATTACTGGAAAAACTATATAAAAATAGAAATCTTTTATAACTCAAAGAATCATTGTCTTATCATTATATATTAATAATTAATAATAAGGTGCTGTGATAGAATCCCTAATGTCTCCCACCAGTTCTGATAGACATTTGTAAATACTATCTCTGATTGGACAAAGTAGACTATGCTACTCTTTGTCTACCAATCAAATCATAAGATCAGATAAAAAAATCGAAGTTTTTGAAGTTTTTTTAACAAAAAAAATTCTTTGTAAAAGTTTATAATAATATATTTTCTATTAGACCTTTGCACTGTTTCAACGATACTTATATTATTTGATTGAAAAGCAAGATTTTTCTTCATCCAATAGGAATTAGAAGAAAAAATTAGTAAACCCTACTGTGATATATTGTACATTATTAGACTTTAGATGTTTAAGTATAAAATTATATAGCATAATATGCATATTATCACTAAAATCTATTCAGAGTAGTTATATAGCAGTTAACTATTATCGCACTAAATGATTACCAATTTATAACATCTTGTATGTACGTATAATATGATAAAAAAAAAATGCTTTTTAGTGAGTTTTGTTTTTTTAATTTAATTTAATAAAATGTTTTTTTAAAATATTGGTTTTTTTTTTTTCGATGTTAAGGTGAGGTCTTGCCTTGTATCTTTTATTAGATGTTAGATTTTTGCCTTATATGGCTATATATAATCTTAAGAATACTGGCTTAGACAACTTTATCTATGACCTAAACCTACCAGAGTATGCTACGTTCCCACTACGTATTAGATTATACATGGATTTGATGTTCAAACTATATTTAGTTACCACCGCATTCACCTCATGTCTTACCGTCAAACCTTGGTAACTCCCAAATTGGTTTATTCAGGTAATCGGTCTTTAATGGCCTCCCAATTTGGTATTTAAAATATTGTTAATTATGGTATTGATGGATAAAGCTAAAATTTCTATATTTACTTGGTTAATTTCAACTTTATTACTGCGAAATTCTTATTTCTTAATCGAAATATACATGTTTCTTGATACTAGTTTATAATACAAAAGTAAAAAAGATTAAATTTATAATTATCATTGTAACTATAAGTACGTATATATTAAACATTTTGTTCAAATCTATACAAATTTAATATTTTTTTGTGGTTTTTAGTTAGACATTTATCCTATTGCAGATTTACTTTAGATGTACTAGCAATTCAAAAAAAAAAATTTCGACAATAATTATAATATATGCTATTGTTTAAGCAGAGATCTTTAGGAATTTTAACTACAGCCTTAAATTATAGGGTTTATGCATTTAGAATACATCAATAACATGATTAGAGTAGGTAGCAATATATATATATTGCTACCTACTTACATTAGGTTGTTATCTACTTATGAGTATATATTGTTACCTACTTACGGGTATATTGTTACCTACTTGTTTTATAGCTACTCATTTTGATCTCTATTAAGCTTGCGTCGTCATTTGAGTAATGAACAATTCGTGCTTGCGTCGTCAGAGATATATTAGTATTCACTCCATCATTTGAGTAATGAACGATTCATACTTGCATCATCATTCGAGTGACGAACGATTCGCGCTTGCGTCGTCAAAGATATACTCATTTTATATAATATACTTTTAAAAGATCGGCAAAAAAAATATATCCGGTAATGTATTTAGTCATATGTCATTATGCTATATACATGTTATCAGGTCATGTTATTGCGAGTTTTCTTTAAGCACTTCTGATTTTTCTGCTATTTTCTCTAGCTTTTTCTGGTAATAATATTTCATATTTCGATACTTACCACCATACCTTGCACATATTGCCGATATAGAAAAAGTTAACTTACCACACTTTTTATATGGTGTACACATAGGAAAATTCCTGTTAACATGACAGTCTTCAACTTCATATTTCTCGTTATATACTTCTTCACCACCAAATAGATCAATCATATTTATGCTAAATTCTTTAACAATATATACCACATAGAATATTTAATAGAAAAATTA